ATCGCTGTTAACAGTCGTTCTAAACGAGTTACCCATTTCTTCCATCTTGGTCCGGTATTGCCGTCCAAATGAACTTCAAAAGTAGGGAAATTCGGCAGCGAAACAGCCATTCACTTAATGTATTCTAGCTTGAAGCTAAATACCAATTAAAGTTATCGTTTGGCTTCGTAACGTTTGCTGTTTGCTTCTTGAACATCAACAGTATGTATTCTTTTTTTTTTTATATATATATATATATCTTATAGTTTACTAGATTTACAATCCTCGTCGCCAGATATAGTGACCCTTCGCCTGCTGCAGAAGAACTAACCTTTATTACTAAACTAACGATTATTTACATACAACTATATTGGATACTAATTAGAATATTACTAAGGTAACATGGAATATTAATGAGGACATTACACAAACCACGGCAGGTTATTGTAGAATACTACCTACACTGGACCACCATGTTTGAGATATCTTTTTCAGGTAGTTCAGACACAAACCACGACAGCTTATTGTAGAATACTACCTACACTGGACCACCATGTTTGAGATATCTTTTTCAGATGGTTCAGACGCAAACCACGGCAGCGTATTGTAGAATTCTTCCTACATTGGACCACCACGTTTGAGATATCTTTTTCAGGTAGTTTAGACACAAACCACGACGGCTTATTGTAGACGGCTACCTACACTGGACCACCACGTTTGAGATATCTTTTTCAGGTAGTTCAGACACAAACCACGACAGCTTATTGTAGAATACTACCTACACTGGACCACCACGTTTGCGATATACTGATTAAGTTGTTTTTTTAAGACAAAGACGAAGTTTGCAAGAGCTGTACAGAAAACTAAAAATTCATGGCATTTCCCGTCGATTGATGAAGAAACATGGTTATGCGTTAAAAGAATTTAACCATCAGCAGGTATGATCAGCATTTAACTCGCCTGTATATTTCGTGCAAATATAAATGCAACCAAATGACTACAAAATTAATGTACAGCATTTACTATTTATGAATTATTATGTAGTTCAAGTAATTTTTACATATATATTATATTTTTAAACGGGATTAGAATCATTAGATATGAAATTCTTCTAGCAAAAGTTAGTAAGTTCTTCAAGTCTGACGATTGACAAAATTGATCTTTCTTAGACTTTTCACACCTTTAAATTATATTAGTTAAGTCAATTAAAAGCAATAAACACATTAACGTATTATGTTACCATGTTCTTTAAAAGAAAAGACCCTTCTCGTTCAACCTTTAATATTTGCAATTTTCTCATTTTGCATTGCCTTGAACCGTTTTATTTCAGTGTATATTTCGCCTCTATGTCTTAATCTTACTGCAAACACCAAAATGGTTCTTAAAATATTTGTTTTCTTTTTGATTATTAAACTGTTTGTCCACGGGTTTGTCTAAGTGTTACCTTCATCGTCGGATTGATTTAATATCTTTGGCACATGTCCTGATTAAAATATGTTCCGCTGGACTTTCGATAAAAAATTATTTATGTAATCACAGTTAATAGACTGTGATGTAATTAGCTGTGCTAGGATTGTCAACTTCTCGAACGGAAGCAGTATTCAAACTTCTCAAAGAGATATACAACGTAATTTTATAGCCTAGTAAATTTATGGACATTTGCTATCTGGCTGTCAAGACAATAAACGATTTATCAATTAATGTCGTCTTCAAACATTGGGAACTTATAAAACCGGGAGTAGGGACTCCCCTGGAGCTATTGTGACTGTGGAATCATTAAATGTATTTACAACTACAGCAGATTTCCTGACCTGGAGCGTTTTATCTCACGGTGATTCTATTGAAAACTGATCCTCGTGACTCCAGCATTGGTTATCACAGTCAAAGCATTGATCTCGTTGTATTGACCTTACCAACTTTGAGAACAAGAACAAAGATTTGTACTGTACTTTTTTATACCACAAGAATATTTTTGTACTGGAAGAATAGCGACTAACCACGTTGAGAATTAAAAGGACGGAAAACTGTTTGTTGCGATATCATTGCTTTATTGCTTATCACAGACAGGATTTTGAGTATTGACCTTTCTAGTTATTAATTGGTGACGAGATTTTTGGAGTGGAAAGACAAGATATATTTTACGATGAGCAGTCACGTTTATAAATACACGAACGGAGATACGGCGAGAAATGAGTTTTATTCCGAGAACAATTGTGAAACAAAGCGTCTGAGTTCGAGTGGCTATGATTACAATAATAATTCAATCCCCACAGATCTTATCTGTGCTGTTTGTCACGCGGAATACCGAAATCCGAAATTGCTACCATGTTTGCACACGTTTTGTAAAAGATGTTTGGAAAAGTATGTCGAATGTCTAGACGGAGATTATTATGTCAAGTGTCCCTTTTGTGGTACGCGTAGAAAGATTAAGTCGAGATCTGACGATGGTCACGCATGTCTTGACGAACTCGTCTCTGATTTCGTAGCGCTTAATTCGCTGGACGCTTGCGCGATTAATGTTAATGAGTTGAGCGATGCGAGTTGCAGTAACTGTTCGACGCGCGCGCAAAGTCGTTGTTCCGAATGCGCGGTGTTTCTTTGCGCGAACTGTCAACGCGCGCACAAAAATAACAAACAGACAAAAAATCACAACGTCTGTTCGTTAGCTTTACTCGGTTTGAAATCCGACCAGATTTTACACACAGGAGACTATTGCAAAACTCACGCGGGCCAAACGTTGACCCACTTTTGCAGGACTTGCGATCGCGCGGTCTGTAACGACTGCACGTTTTTGGATCACCCAAAAGACGGACACTCGGTCACGGAGCTTTCCGACGTCTCTCCGACACAACGCCGACAGCTGGCGGAAATTCTATCAGGTGTCCGACAAAAAGTACCTTTCTTAAAACGTACACTACTTGATATCGATTCAGTGTTACAGTCGCTCCCGGATAATGCCGACGCCGTTGCCAGAGAGATCGCGAGGACAACAGAGAGCTTTATTCAAACTCTAAGACAACGCCAGGAAGAGCTGCTCGACGAACTGACAAAATTATGCGCACACAAGGCGACGGTTTTGCACGAGCAGAAATCGAGAATACAATCCGAGCTCGAAATTCTGGAAGATAACTGCCAGGCGAGTGAAAAAATTCTCCGAAATGGAAGCAATTCCGAGATTGCAACCGTGAACAATTTGGTGTACAAACGGCTGGAATTTCTACGAAATATGAAGTTGAATGTCGAAGCCGATGAGAATTCTGAATTCGGGTACGATTCTGGTTCCGAGAAATTGAAAAGTGAGATTTTAAACACTGGGGAAGTATTTCTAGTAAATACATCGTCTCCTCTAAAGGTTCTCGGAGACGGTCTACAAGATGCTGCCGTCGGAAAGTTTGCCTCGTTTACTGTAGCCACATCTGAGAAATGTGAGCTATTCTCCGGGGATTTGGATATACGAATTGAGACCCCTGATTCTGTGCTCCTCGAATGTGACGTCACACACAGCGGGAACCTGTGCAATGTCGTGTACAATCCCAAAGTTCCTGGCGAGAATGAGATCTCGGTGACATTCCGGGGGGAGCATTTGCCCGATAGTCCCATCTGTGTGAATGTGAAGGACGGTCACGTGATTTATGCTCAAAAGAAGACGAAATGTGTAACTTTTGGTCACCGGGGTAGTGCCCCCGGGTGTTTGAACCAGCCGTGTGATGTAGCCGTACGGAATAACGGTCATATTCTGCTAGCCGACACTTCGAACCATCGCGTTCAAATATTTGACGCAAATGGGAAATTTATTTCGAATTTTGGGAAGCCAGGTGGTAGTTTTGGCCAACTAACATACCCATCAGGCATTGCGATCTCGCCTCGTGGTCACGTGATTGTGAGTGATTATGGCAACCATCGCGTGCAAGTTTTCACTTCCGGTAGCGTGTACCTGAGGTCATTTGGGGGTAAGGGGAGCGCCGAGGGATTGATCGACCACCCCATAGGGGTAGCTGTTGACGAAGAGGGACACGTAGTGGTAGTCGATCAGGACAACCACAGAGTACAGGTTTTTGACGAAAATGGCAAGTTTCTACGTCAGTTTGGTTGTTATGGCAACGGAAACGGCCAACTAGATCGCCCTATGTATGTTGCAATTAGCCCAGACGGCGATGTCTTCGTAACGGACTCGAGAAACCATCGGGTCCAAATTTTCGACGCCGACGGCCGTTATCGGGAAAGCCTCGGCGAACGAGGCACCAACGATGGTGAGTTTTATTATCCCACTGGTATAAGCATCGATGCTGCGGGCTATGTTGTCGTCTCTGATCAAACCGCGAGAATTCAAGTTTTCAACCCTGAACTACAGTTTGTAACGAAACTGGAGCCGCGGTCAGTGGATAAACTGGAGTGTCCTATGGGGATTGATTACAACCCTGAAGGCAAGATTATCATCGTTGATAAAGAATGTAGCAATGTGAAAATATTGTACCCATGACGGTGGGCTTGTCAATAGTTATTAAAGGCGCAGTTCAGCCTTTTGAGTGATGGTTTTTGAGGCGCATTTCAGCCCTTTTATGCATAATTCAAGATCAGTAAGCTCAGTAAATTCAAGATCAGTAATGTTTTTTTAAAACAATAAAAGTGTTTTAAAATGTTAAGAACATTAAGTTTGCTAATCTTGAATTATGCTTAATTTATTTTCCTAGTCAGTTTTTTCAATTAAAAGGGCTGAAAAGCGGGGGTGGAACGGGTTTCCAAAACTATCTAGCATTTTAACGGTCAATAACCGCAAAATGGTACAAAAAGGCCACAGAATACTGGGTTTTTTGGCATGTTTAACCTTATGTAACATAAAATCGGTGTCGAAAATTGTAGCAGCCGTTTAAATGTGCTATATTTAGTTTATTGCGAGCTTTCCAACGATATAGCTGATATTTGCTAAAAGTGAACTTTGAAATTTCACTTTTTTATAAGATGGTACTTTAATAGGTAAATGGTAAGAAAAACAAGCTCGCTATTAAAGGGATATGACTTTTCCACACACTTGGTAAACATTAATTTATTTTCAATATTTGTTACGATTTAATAATTTCGTATTAAAATTAGTATCGTTTTAAAATTAGACATAGATATGTAGGCCCAGTGGTACTAGGTTTAATACACTATATTATAAAACGTGTTTTACATATTCAAATTTTTGCAAAACTAAAAATCAGGGTTCGGTTTTAGTTTCTTGTCTTTAAGTTCAACAAAACCCGGCGTGACTTGCCAACGTATACAACTGAGTGCTCGCCGCGCTAGAAACAGTTCCTCAGCCCCCATTCCGGTGAACTTTCCGTAAAAATTCAACACCTTTTTGCCGTGTTTTATATTCTTCCCGCCTAGATTCACATACAGGTTGTGTTCCCCTGGTGTTAGCGGGCAATAGAATATAGTATATGTCCCATTTTTGTGATCCAAGATTTGTGCCGACACGATACTGCTGTCCGGAGATTCCAGTTGTATCTCGACTTCTCTCGGGCGTCCTCGGCGGTTTTTCGTGAGTATACAAAGACTGGGTAGATACGACTGCGAGTGTGCTCCGGAAGGTACCGAACCTCCCCGAACTGTCCAGGCTTGGACAGCCTCTTGTGGTTCTTCAGTGTTGTCGCGCGGTGATGGTTGTTTTAGGATCGAATGGGATCTTGGAGAATCTAGTTCAGTGGTAGTTGGGGATTCAATGGGTTTATTAGGGTCATTTGGGGACATCGGCGCGGGTTCATTACGGGGACTTCGTGGGGGTTTCGGTGGGGATTTACTTGGATCAGGTTTAGTGTCCTGCGATGTTCCCGACTTTGGTTTATCTGGCACGGCGTATATAGGCTCAGGGTCATTCGCTGCTGTGGACTTTGAAACCGAATCTGTGCGTTTTCGCGGGGTGGGTTGTTGTTGTTGTTGTTGCTGTTGCTGTTGCTGCTGTTGCTGTTGTTGATCTTTCGTAGCTTGAGTTGGTTGTGGTGTTTTACTTTGACCGGCGTCTGTTCCATCGCCCCCGCTCGCTGCTTGGTCCTTCGAGCCGGACTTATCCTCGGGCTTTTTGTCTTCCATTTCGTCTCCGCCGAAGCTCAGCCTTCGTATCAACGCTCGAGGATTCGTGAGAGTCTGCAACCAGCTTGTTCTACGTTCAACGGGCGCTTCCTTCTCTTCCGCTTCGCCTTGGTTCACTTGCTTCCCTCCGTCATCTTTCTGGCTCTCTACTTTTCTATCCTTCTCATTTCCACTCTTACCACGCCTCTCCTTGTCCTTACCGCCTCCCTCTCTGTCGTTTTCCTTTTTAGCTTTCTGTTCTTTCGACAAAACTTTACCGTATATCTTCAACTGGTCGAGCACCGGTTTTTCCTCGACACTATACTCAATTTCATTCTCGGCAATTTCCGGTACGGCGTCATCCTCTTTCCCGCTCAAATCTCTCAGTCTCGCGCACGTCATCTCGCTGGCGTGCAACACCATCGCCTCGTTACCAGATTTCCCCAACTCCTCAGCGAAATCACAGCTGTCCAAAACCTGTGCCAAATCGTTTTCCAGTGCGAGTTCCTTGCTCTCCAACTCGTCACTCTTTTGATCGTGTATGCGACGTAGCATTTTATACAAATCCTTTTCCCGCCGTTTCACAGCCATTAAAATTCGCGCCGATGTTGCTTGGATTTCTTTAATAACCTCATCAACTTTAGTCTCGAGCTTGTCCTTCGATGCGTGGACCCCTTTGAGCTTACGTTGTAAAATCGGTATCTTTGCTCGGGTCGCGACTAACAATGTATTGAGTTTCGGTTTAGTATCGTCGACTGCTTCTTTTAATGATATTAATAAATGTTCGTCGTGTTCGCTGAGTATACACGACCTGCAAACCGGTTTCTTGCATTGTTTACAGTACATTTTAAGCGCCTCTTGTACGTGGGTAGCGCAAGTTGGCGATTTAACCATCGCGTCCGCGTCCAAGTTTTTAATCGCGACAACTCGGTGGGTTTTTGTGAAGCGAACGCGTTTGTGTGCCTCGACGCAATTACCGCACAAAAAGTCGCTACATTCGAAGCAACGCGAGCTGGCCGTTACCCCTTCTTCACAACTTTCGCATTGTTTTGAACTTAAGCCTTGTTTCAAATCGATCGCTTGCAGTAGATTACTGACCAGAAAGTTACTTTGTAGTTTTTCTACGCCGGAATACTCCGAGGAACCTATTTCGGCTGGGCAAACAGGACAATGCAATGCACCGTCGTGGGTCTCGACGCTTTGCTCCAAACACGCTTTACAGAACGTATGCAAGCACGGTAGAAGTTTGGGATCTTCATAACGTTTCTTGCAGATCTTGCATTGAATTTCGTCCGGGACATCGTTGGTTTGACTTTTCTGCGCTGGTTTTTGCTTGCCTGATTTCGACATTCGTTGAATCTTCGCCGAAGCCATGTTTTCCCACTTCCCTTTCGAGTTTGAACTCAAATTCAACGCATTTACTTCAAAACTAATTAATCTGTATCAATTTCGTTGAAATTTATAAATTCTTCGTCGTTTTCTTTGTGAAACTTGAACTAACTTTTTCTGCTCTCTTTCGCGTGGGCATACCGAGAATATTAAATTTAGCTTATTTTGTTTATAGACGCTTTTGGGGTTGAGTTATGACGCGACAAAATATAGCGTGCTGAAATACGTATAATGTTTGAATGAACGAAGTCCTGAGCGCGCGAAGTATATTTGTGTAAAAGTTGAAGCGAAATGCAACATTTTCCGTAATTTTTAATAATCTTATAAAGTTATTCTTTATTGGGCAATTATTTTAATTGGGATAATGGATAAAAATTACGAGGTGTATACATATTTAAGTTGTACATATTGCCACCCGTTTCAACTAGTGACATAACTTCGACTCTCAAGTATTTACATACTTCAAACAGGTGCCTAATAAAGGTCGCTTTCCATTAACACGGCCAGACCGGTCAAATTGTTGAATGGAACAGAAAACGAAAGGCTTCGGACCTATCTGACCGGAAAATTTAGATAAAATTAGAATGAGGTGCGTTTGCGCTGCTAGATATTTGAGAAACATAGACCAGATCTTCCCATTAAATGGAAAGCGCCCAAAGAGTACGGCCAGTGATCTCAGCAAGACGACTATAATCGCTAGATAGCGAACCTCGTTCCTGGCGCTTTCTCATATAAAGCGCAAATTTTTCTTTCACATATTTTCCTTGACAAGTTTTATTTGCTCGTTTGTACGGCAAAGAATTTGACAATTTTTTCTTGCCCAGGAAAAGTTGACAAGCGTAAAATAAATACTTCTAGGATTTAAACAAAAGGCGGTCTTGGGCGTGAGATAAATGTTTAATTAACAATAGATAGATAGATAGGATAGATAGATAGATATGATAGATAGATAGATAGATAGATAGATTTTATTTTGACACGCTAACTACGTCAATTAAAAACATTGATTTCCACGAAGGGCGTGTGTTCAAAAGTTATTATATATAAGTGTTGTTATGACTCTTATGGAATCAAATAAATGAAAATAGAAATAATCTAACTGTTCCAATTGACAAAATTGACAATATAGACAACTAACAAAACATATAGATAACTATTTACAATAAAGGATATATATATATGTATGTATAAATATTTTATTTAGAAACATCAGCAGCAATTTTTCTTTCAAATAGAGACTGGGACCTAATTCCTCTGATTTCTTTAGGCACTGAGTTCCATATTTTTGCCCCATTAAACATAAAACTCTTTTTCATGCTATTTGTGCGGGGCTGTGGCAAAACGAGTGTTGTTTCATTGTTACGGAGACAGTAATGCGTATTCTCATTCTTGTAGGTAAAAAGGTCTGTTAGGCTTTTAGGCCCAGACATATTCAAAATTTTGAACATTAATTTTGCCAACATATAACAACAATAATAACAACAACATATAATAACAACATATATTCCGTGCACACGCACAAAACTTATCAAGGGAAACTTGCTCGTTTGTTAGAAGTTCTTATCTTTGACAGTTCTGGCTTTGACTTTGAAAATGTTGAACCAGATGTTGTTTTTCACACACAGTTCTGCTCAAGTGATCGATTGCTAATCTGCATATTCAAATGAGTTCTTTCAAAACATTCATTCCTGCTTTGAAATATAAAACCGTTCAACCGTAGCCGGGGGAGATTTGAAACCTTAGACTTTCACAAAATGGCGTCGGCTGGTGGCGGTAGTTTACGACGTGCAAATACAAGTGTTTCTTTGCCAGACCTTAGCACGACTATTAAAGCGAACGAGCACGAAAGAAAAGTCGCTGACAAAAGCATCAACTCGGTTGAAACACACTTCGACGAGCTGGCGACGAAATTAAACCATTATGCCGTCCGTTTAGGCAAACTTCGCAACGCCGGAGACGAGTTTCACAAAGCTGTTGAGACCTACGCTGACGAGGAATCGAGTGGTCTGAAACAGGCGTTACATACGTTTGCCGAATGCTTTGCCACTATACAAGACCTACGACATGAACAAGTCCAGCAAATCGCCGACAAAAACGTACAAGCGTTTAGTATTTACAAGACAAAATGTCGACAAGCGAAGGACGATGTGAAATCGAACCTCGGCGCTTTGGACAACGAAGTGAAGAAGTATAAATCCTTAGAACGGTTGAAAACTCGCTCGGCGTCGAACCCGAGTCGGCTTGCAAGAGCTCAAACGGAGTTCCAGAAAGCCTCAGACGAAGCAGGTCGAAGCTCGAGAATTCTCCACGAACAGATGGAGGAATTCGAACGCGCTAAAATCCGAGAAATTAAACAGATATTCCGAGATTTTATCCACAATGAGATCTATTTCTTTGCGAAGGGGTTAGAGCTCTACACTCGTGCCTACGATGGTCTGACGTCTCTCAACGATGAGAATGATATCGAGGAGTTTCGAGCGTCGATGTCATGGCAACCACAAGGTCATTCTACCCCCGGGTTTTCGCGACATCGCTCCGAACCAGTGCTCAATAGTCATATAGAGGAACAGGATTTTAATGAATCGGTTTAGGAAGGTTTCTGGCGGGGGTCAGGGTCAATTCCAGCCCCGGTTTTTCACAACATCTCTCTGAACCTGTGATTAATAGACATATAGAAAAACAGGACTTTTATTTATCGGTCCAGAAAGGAACTTTTGAGTATATTTGCGTATTTGGGTGCAGTAAGTCGTACGTAAAAACGCGCAATTTGTTACAGATTGTAACAAGGTTGTTGTGAAGCCGATATCAGGATGTGTTCGCACTGCTTGTTCCCAGTTGTTGTGACAAGTCTGGAACAAGTTGTTATCATCTTGTTACAAGGTTGATGACGGTAACAGACTTGCTACAAGTTGTTCCAACAAGACTAATACAGGCTGTTCGTAACAAGTTGCTACGAGCTTGTTGTCATCAACTTGTTAACAACTTGTTACGTGCAGACGATATCAGACTTGTTGGAACAACTTGTTGCGAGTCTGTTGGCCTCATCAACCTTGTTACAAGATGATAACAAATTTAACAACTTGTTCCGGACTTGTCAACAACTGGGAACGAACATTCTTGTTGACAAGCTGTGAGATTTTTACCCATTAGACCAATGAGCGATGCAAGTCTAACATTAAAATTAACTAACTGTCATTGTTGATATTATCAGACTTGTTGCAAAGTTGTTTCAACAAGTCCGATACAGTCATAATATAACAATATTGTTACAACCTTGTAACATTCTTGTTACATCATGATTGTATCAGACTTGTTAGAACAACTTTGTAACAAGTCTGATAATGCCATCAAACTTGTTACGAGTTGTTAACAGCTTGTTTCAAACTTGTTACAATAACTGGGAACAAGCAGTGCGAACACAACTTGTCGACAGCTTGTGAACAGATTTGTAACAACTTGTTTGCAGACCTGTAACAACTTGTGCGTTTTTATGTTTGTACGTGGAGCCCAGTGTTACTGTTCTAAACTATCTGAGAAAAATCTCAAACGTGGATCTGGTTTAATTAGTATGGGTTGTATTCTAGAGACCACGGTCGCTTTTCAATAATTAAAACGTTTAAGTACTGTATTACAGTATATATTTAAAAAATTTCAATAAAAATAAATTATAGAATATAATAATATATGTACTTACAATTGATATCTAAATTATCACAGTTTCCATTATTAGTATGTTTTTTTCGACGTTTGGGTAAGATTTTTAGCAAATTGAAACGGTCTGAATTTCACACGATATTGGTTCATGAGCCGACCTGTTCATCTTCGTAGCAAGAAACTAACCCAATTTGACTCAATTAATGTTTAAAATTTAACTCGACTAATCGCTATAAGCGTCTGAGTAATTTTGTCTAGTATTATGAGAAGTGTACTTATTTACTCATAAGTGCCTGGATTCCACTTCAACCTTATCGTAAGTCGTAACGTAGAATTCTCTTTTGGGTCGAAGTCATTTCTTCCACTCTACACACGGAAAATTCTCACATCCCATAGCAAGTCTGCCAACAAGTCGTCAACAAGTTGTGTTCGCACTGCTTGTCCCAAGTTATCAACAAGTTTGGAACAAGCTGTTAACAACTTGTAACAACCTTGTTGATATCATCAGACTTGTTGCAAGGTTGTTCCAACAAGTCCGATACAGTCATGATATAACAATATTGTTACAACCTTGCGTTGTCAACCTTGTAACATTCTTGTTATATCATGACTGTATCAGACTTGTTAGAACAACCTTGTAACAAGTCTGATAATGCCATCAACCTTGTTACAAGTTTTTAACAGCTTGTTCCAAACTTATTACAACAACTGGGAACAAGCAGTGCGAACACAACTTGTCGACAGCTTGTGAACAGACTTGTAACAACTTGTTTTTAACCTACACACGTAAAAACGCACACAAGTTGTAACAAACCTGCAGCAGACTTGTATCAAGTTGTTCCAACAACTTGTTATCGTCCTGCAATTCAACAATCTGTCAACAAGTTGTGAGTGACAACCTTGTAGCAACTTGATAAAATAACAGGGTTGTTACAACTTGTTGAGAAACTTGCTACAAGCCTGTTGCGAACACATCTTGTTGACAAGTTGTGAGATTTTTACGTGTGCACACTACGATTCAAATGGAAGCCCAGGCTTTTGAGTATCTAAATATTAACATTTATATAATCTGTCTTTTACTTTTGTTATTTAATCTCTAAAATAAATTTTAAAATAAACATTTTTCTTGGTTCGGTAACATCTCATCATGCTGGTTTTATTCCCAGAAATTCTCCACTTTTTAAATCTCCTTCGCTACACCGAAGCAGTTTGTCCGTCCAGCCATTCACAATTGTGTAGTAATCTTCTAGCGAGAATTCCTGCGAAATTAAAACATATATACACTTAATTCATTTGTGTCCAAAATTGTTTTTGGCATTTGAGAATTGCCATTTACCACCTTATTACCTGTTCTGATAATGTAAGCATAGAGGTAACCAAGTATTTAAATTATATGTGTCAGTGAATTGATAACTCACATGCCTAGTTACCACTGTTCTGATAATGTAAGCATAGAATGTAGCAAAGGTAACCAAGCATTTAAATTATATATGTGAGTGAATTGATAACTCACATGCCTAGTTACCACTGTTCTGATAATGTAGGCATAGAATGGAACAAAGGTAACCAAGCATTTAAATTATATATGTGAGTGAATTGATAACTCACATGCCTAGTTACCACTGTTCTGATAATGTAAGCATAGAATGGAACAAAGGTAACCAAGCATTTAAATTATATATGTGAGTGAATTGATAACTCTCATGCCTAGTTACCACTGTTCTGATAATGTAAACATAGAATGGCACAAAGATAGCTCACCTGAAGAAATTGATCTTTATTTTGTTGAAACGTTTGCAACTCATTCTCCAGCACCTTCACAAACTGGTCAGTTGTGTCCCTCGCAGTGACATTATCAAATCCTGCTTCCTCAAAACACTAAATCCCAGCAAAGAAAAGGAAAACGACAAGCTAGATCTAGACTGAATTCTCATATATTGAATAAGTCTACCAGTTCTCTACTTAACTCTTTGTAGGTCCAGTAAGAATCATCTCTTATTGAACCAGTGTTACTACAGGAGGAAACCTAAACTAAACTAACTTTATTTATACTGGATAGCTCTATCAGTTCTAAACTGTTCTTCCTGGAGGTCCAGTAAGAATCGTCTCTTATTGATCCAGTGTTACTACAGGAAGAAACCTAAACTAAATTAACTTTATTTATACTGGATAGCTCTATCAGTTTTAAATTAAACTGTTCTTCCTAGAGGTCCAGTAAGAATCATCTCTTATTGATCCACTGTTACTACAGGAGGAAACCTAAACTAACTTTATTTATACTGGATAGCTCTATCAGTTCTAAACTGTTCTTCCTAGAGGTCCAGTAAGGATCATCTCTTATTGATCCAGTGTTATACTACAGGAGGAAGCTGCCCACAGGAAAACTGCAAAACATTTTCCATAGAACTTTAGCCTCATGATATCTCACTACATACCTTTCCGAAAGTTTTAACATCAACCAAATGATATTGTCTTTCTTTTACATAGGATTGAAACCTCGCTGACGCTGGACTCTTGCCGCTGGAACAGTAGTTGGTGACAAGCAATCGACCTCCTGGCTTGAGCCATCCCTACGGCAGGAGAAATAGTGAACATCAACAATGAACATGAAGGCGTATGTACACTTTTCATCAACTTTTATGTATATTGTCATAGCCCTTTTAATCTAGTATAATATGCATAGAAAAAAACAGCATCCACCAATGGGATGCTATTTTTACGTGTATATAATATATACACGCAAAAAATCTCACAGCTTGTCAAGAAGATATGTTCGCACTGCTTGTTCCCAGTTGTTGACAAGTCTGGAACAAGTTGTTATCATCTTGTAACGAAGTTGATGAGGCCAACAGACTCGCAACAAGTTGTTCCAACAAGTCTGATATCGTCTGCACGTCACAAGTTGTTAACAAGTTGATGACAACAAGCTCGTAGCAACTTGTTACGAACAGCCTGTATTAGTCTTGTTGCAACAACTTGTAGCAAGTCTGTTACCGTCATCAACATTGTAACAAGGTGATAACAACTTGTTCCAGACTTGTCACAACAACTGGGAACAAGCAGTGCGAACACATCCTGATATCGGCTTCACAACAACCTTGTTGCAACTTGTTTGTAGATCTGATACATGTATTGAACTTACATAGCATGATTTAATCAAGCTTTGTTGATCAGCGACATGTAGAAACACTTCTTTGCTGTATATTACATCGAACGAGTTTGGTTTGTAGTTGCGACGTGTCACATCGCCAATTTCAAAATGTACCTGAAACGCAGCAGATATATAGATCGTTATTAATCTTTGTTGCATGATCACACGTGCTTGTGGTGTCGTGGTCGCCATGCTTGCCTTTCAAGCTAGGAGACCCGCGTTCAATCTTTGGTCGGACCTCTAGTCAAGGTCTTAAAATAAGGAGAAAGAGCTACCTTTACATTGACATCAGTAAATGGTTAGACTTTCGCGTCTTCTCGGATAAGGACGTTAAAATCGTAGGTACCTCGGATCCCTTATCAATTGGGCAATAGACCTTTCCCCTTTTGAGTGAAATTTTGATCTAGACAAGTCTGGACAAAAATTTCACCACAGCTTGAAAGAGCATCACAAAATTAGTAATATTCCGAAGTTTCGTTGCGAAATGTTGTAAAATGCGGATAATATAGCCTTGCGAAGTTTGCCGTTTTTCAGTCATTTTAGATTACTAACGGGAAATTGATAATCAGATGATCAAACTGATGATCAGTTTCCCATTTGTAATACAAAATGACTGAAAAACGGCAAACTTCGCAATGCTATATTATCCGCATTTTACAACATTTCGCAACGAAACTTCGGAATATTACTAATTTTGTGATACTCTTTCAAGCTGTGATGAAATATTTGTCCAGGCTAGTCTAGATCAAAATTTCACTTAAAAGGGGAAAGGTCTATAATAGCCTGTTGGGAAATCCACTCATCAATGAGTTAGAAACTCAATAACCTGAACCTAAAGTAAGGGGGCATCAAACCTTGTCATCCCGGAGACCAGTCTTGGAAAATGTTCGGCAGCGCCAGAAAATGTTTCACAAAGTATTTTCGCGTGAAATTTTCTTCACCTTGCAGGAAATTTTTGTTATATGTACAGGAATGCCATATAATTCACTGGATTTTTTGTGTTGGTGTAGTGTACTCAGGTGAATATGATGTTTGTGATGTTACTCTGAGTGTATATCCACACCGGGCAGGCTTGAAAAATATGCCTGGCCACGGTGGGAATCGAACCTACGACCTTTGGAATACTAGCCCAATGCTCTGCCAACTGAGTTACGCGGTCAGATCGCGTAAAAATTCCAAAAGCATTTTGCAAGTCGAGATTGTCTTGTGTCGAGATTAAAATTTATCACAATTAATGCGTGGCATCATACGTTCTCTGACATGTACATATGCAGGACGTTTTGTATTTGTCTTATACACAGGAAATTTCTATTTTTGGATTTTGCTGCCAGGAAGAGAGATATATTTTCTAGGCGTGTCCCGGTAGGTGTTCAGTAGGCCGATTAGCCGTGCACAAATGTGGGACAAGTACCTATTGCATTTTTTGGGACACGCTGTATATCCCAAACGCTCGCAGCGAATTCGCAACAAGTCCAACAAACCTGCTCGTTTTTCTCGTTATTCGCTCTCTCCATGGCGAGGTTGATTTGATTCGAAGACACATCAATGCCAGTCACAAATACACCATATGTCTGTATCGAATAAAATAATTATATTTCTATAATTGTATTTTTTCATCGACTACACACGTAAAAACGCACAAGTTGTTTACCTTGGCCATATAAAATGCCGTTGTGCCCATTCCGCTTCCAATGTCTAAGACATGTTCCTTGGCTTTAAGATTTAACTTTTCACACAGATCCTAAATTTCAGATAAAAATATTTGCAGTTATCAATATAATGTTGCACGCTTGCAAAATATACCTGATGACGTGCTATGTTAAAAGTGAAGTCATTAATCTTCCAATCATGTTAAAATCTTGACGAGATAAAGGCTAAACCCTGGGGCGGATCTAGCCTCATCTGCAAGGAGGGGTGCAGCCGTGCAGGGTTGGGGGTTTTTTGCGGGGGGGGGGGGGGGGGGGGG